TTGTGAATTTGTAAAACTGGTACTACTTGTATCGCTATTGACTTGACTTGTTATTCTGTAAGATAATCTTCTTTTGCTGGCTAATAAACATCGATTTCAGTTTAGTTTAGCTTTTAACAGAAATCCAGAATGTGTATGTCTCCATATTATGATCAAAAGCTGTGATATATAACCCATGAAAATGCTGTAACCACAAGGCTTAGATTCAAGAAATAACTGTGTTGTAGGGTTTAAACAAAGGGCATTGCCGCATTAGATTAATTTAGTAAGTTTCCCGCACCAGTCTCCACTTTTTGTCTCTTTTCATATATTATTCATTTAACAATATTTTTCCCTAAACGTACTTGCTGAGTTTGATAAACTTTTTGGTTTATTCAGCCAAGTTAAAAATATAAATCTGAAGTCCAAAACAATGTATATATGTGTCACACCCCCTCCCGAGTATCCCTACCCCACCAGATCCGGGCGCTCCAGGAGACTCAGGATCTCGAAAGGAAAGTGAATATTCTAAAAAAAAAAAAAAAAACATTCATAAAAACAATTCCATTTATAGACGAAAGTGAAAAGTAGTGCATTTGCATATTTAAGGTTTAACAAGCGGAAATACACAAAATAATTATTCTAAAAGCGAGAATTGAAAATCCAGTTATAAAAAAAAAAAAAAAAAAGAAATTTAGTATCAGTGTCCACTAAAGTTTGTAAAACATGCAGATTATCATGCGTCAATGCCAACCTAGAGCGTACAGTATGCTCCACACGAACCCGATCTACAATCCTAGGGGAGGAAACATAAAACAGTGAGTTGGAAAGCCCAATGAGCGGATAATATATTTTATACGAAAATAACTTTAATTTTGGAAACATGCATGAATAATCCAATTGCATGCCACACAACACTAATGCACTTACATGATAAGGCAACAATCACCATATATTATTCTCAGATGCCATGAAATCACACACCACTATCATATAAAATAAATATATTACCACCACCCTACTAGCACTTAGGGACTTAGATCATAACTCTCCGAATCAGTCCCTAACTTATACATGAAGCTACACCACCCGCAATCTACCCTCGGGGTGGCACCATCCGCAATCTACCCTTGGGATGGTACAAACATCACTGGATAACTATGCTCGACCCACAGTCTACCCTCGGGATGTCATGATATGGTATCAAATATAATCTCGCCCACGGTCTACCCTTGGGGCGTCCAAAATCCCACACCGACCAATACTCGTCTGGTGTAATCCCGCTTGGAGCTCGTCAAGCGTTCGTCTTGTCCTAGTAGGATATCCTAATCATTCGGTAGGACGGACCATCTCAATACGCGCATGAGGATAACTATCAAATACTAGTTGATGTCTGGAGGGGGATGGGTACAAAACAAGGGTTGTTTCCAATCCGGGAGTCAAACATATTAATAATTATGCATCCAGAATTTCATTCTAAATATGCATCATGCATGCCTTGTGCATATATAAAGTATAACATGATATAAAATTTCAATAAAAAGGTATGTAATTATGAATGCAATGCTCACCGCGTCAAAGTATAAAAGTGTGTAAAATTCTATTTACACCCTATATTAATCATTAATTCCATTAAAATCCTAAAACTTTTAATCTTTGCAGTCAACTACCAAACTAACTTTCGACTCTGATAGTTACACGCCCATAACCGAGAACATAATGCCTCACAAAATTTTCTTTTCCCACATTATCCTCCCCACCAATTATCATCAAAGCCTAAACCCAACAAAATAGTAAAAATTGGGCCTCATCATTAATAATAAGGCATCCCACTAATATAAACAAATTCATCTAAAGCCTCAAACAATAATTGGGCCTCATTTTCATTTTACAACCCAGTAAGGCTTCAAAAGCCCATATCCATTCATTCATTTATGGAATTAAAAGCCAACTAACAAAATATGGGCCTTATTATATTAGGCCCGCCACTATTATAACCAAACCCAATAACTCAAACAACTATCTTTTCCCCAAAATTTCCCAGCAGCTAAACAAAAATGTTTCTTCCAAATGACGTTGAGCACAAAGCAAAATGAACTTCCAGCCAACAAAATAAAAAATAATTTAGCAATTCTATACATACCAAGTTTAGTTCACATTTTCATCATACCAATATTTCTTTTTAAGAAACAATCCCAGCCAACATTACAACATCGAAACAGTAAATATATGAACACTCAAGGTAACTTCCAGCAACTCGAACTTGCAAAATTCATAAATTGAACCCATAACAATAAATCATTATTATGAAAGTACCAAAACTCATATGCTGTCTATTCTTAAATTTAATTATGCCCAACCAACGTAATCAATCAATTATCAATTTCATGTCTTCTCCTCATCACAATTCACTGCCTAGCATTCCCATAAACAAGCACAACAAAATATTAAAGAATGACATAACACCAGAATTGTCCACAACCACACATGAATTTGAAAACATGCAGTTTCATGCAATATTATTCCACTCACCACTTTCTCCTTTACTTTCAACTCAAGTGCCTGGTCCTCCTATCTTCTTCACCTATTTGATTCAAAATTGAAATAAGAATTGGGATCTAAACAATGAGGGAGTGAAAGATTGAATAAATACGATGAAGGATTGAAAATGCATGCCTAACACTTAGTACTTTACCTTTCTGAAAATTCTTCCCCTACAAATTACACAGGAGAATGAAGGCAAAATACGAAAAAAAACAAGCTTCTCCCTCTCTCACCCTTTTTTCCTCTCACTCTCTTGGCTATCTCTTTCTCCGCTCCCTCGCTCTTCTTCTCCTCATTTCAATTTAATAGAAATCTACAACCAACATTGGCAAAACAAGGTGCCAAAACCGGGGTTGATTCTCCAAAAAAAAATTACCTTAAATCCATCTTGCAATGGCCAATTATCATGCATCCCTTAGTCTTTGATTCTTACATCTTTCACCCCAAAATCCTTTAATTAAAGTTCTGTTTTATCACGATCTCACCCCTGAAAAATGATGCATGTGGCCTTGCATGACACAACATCAGTAAGACCCCTCAGCTTTAATCAATTTTATAATGTCGTTGAAAGATTTTCACACTTCCAATTTCACATAAGTGCTCCTGTGAAACTGCTTAATAGATCCACCAAGCCTTATTTTTTACTAAAACGTCTCCAAAAAGTTTCAATTCTTATACATTACCCCCTAGATTCATGTAAATAAAATTAAATAAAATCCACAAAGAAAATACGGAGTAATACAATATGTGCAGTTCCAACTTCCAACAGGGGAGATATTTGCATTAACTCTAGATTATAGAAGATATTCATCATTGGAAATTCAACCTAGAGAGGCAAAGGGTACTTGACTTACCAAATGTTGACTCGAAACTATAGTTTTAAGAAAAATGCAGCTACATGAACTTCCATTTTCTTTCATCTAACGCATGTGAGTTAAGTTGGCATTCATAACTATTATCTGGTGCCGGCAGGTTTTACTTTCAGGTAACACTTCCATGGTTCCACCATGCAACACTCTGTTTCTCTCTAAAATCGATGCCTACTTGCATTGTTAACTTCCCTTCCAGGATTTCAAATGAAAACTAATTAAGGGTCATAAGTTTCAGTATTTTCTTTCAATATTCTGTTTAACATATATATCTTGGGTTTCGCAAAGCCACGACACTGACTAAAAACTTAGCATTTGTCGGAAGATGATCACTTACTCTCCAATCCTTCTGACAGTGGCCTGTCTACAAACCTCGTCTTTTGGGTTGGGTTTGACACTGTACAAAGCCCTCGTGTCCTGAAAATGATGCATTAGTTTAATAAAGATGGTAATTATTGGAGTTGTCCACTACTTCAGTATTATTGTGTTACACAGATGTACTTGGGGGTCTCGTTACCTGATTAATGGATGGGAGCCCCGTTCCCCGGTGAGCAGGCAGGGGTCATAGGGACAGCGTCCCTAAACCCGTAGACGGTTTGGGCATTTTCCATAAATAACCGTTGTGAGATTTCTTTTAAGTTATTAAACTCTTCTTGGTTTGGGCTTAGGAATAAGAATCCTTGTAAACTAAGTTTATTCACTTAAACCTAGTATATAAACATATTTTTCTCCTGTTATGAATGTGATAGCAAATCATAAGACAATTCATTCATTGTAAACGAGAGAGAGAGGTGAGAAAATATTGCAATAATATTGACACGACTGGATGTAGCTCATATTGAGTGAACCAGAGTAAATCGTACGTGTTATTTTCTCTATGTTTATTATCTGTGATTTGCTTTATTGTTGTTTTGTTCTCGCTATTGTCTTCGTTTCGTTCCGTACTTACAAGCTTTCTGGAAATTTTTTATTACTTGTATGTTTAACTTGCCTACATTCTGTAAAAAATGAAAGCTTCATTGCTGGGTTGAGGAGACTACGAAATTCAAGTTGATGCCAGCAATATGTGACAAGTTCCATGGCCCTTGTTATAATATTACAGGTTATATTTATACATCAATGATTGTTGAGTATATGACTACTGCAAATACTAGTTAATATTATCTTCTGCCGGTGACCTATTGGCTTTCGTCAATTCCTAGAATCATTCAGCAGGCGAAAACAAAAGAATGTTTAACGCCTCCATTATTATTCTTTTTATATATCTCTAAAAACTAGTATTCACTAACTAAACAAAGTCCGAAGGTTCAAGTAAATATCACTGAGATTCTAAATATCAAATAAAGCATCATGCATAACCATTTCGTGCATATCATACTATAATATCTTCTTTGAATCTGCATTTCACTGGTAAGATATTATGCTGATAATGAGGTAAGACACTATATCAGCTTTCACTGTGCCATTTAATAAGCTAGGAAAACATATAAGTCAGAAGTTGACCTTTTCCTTTCATTATCTTTTAGAGTACGAAAAATAAGAGTCTGAAGAGTTGGGAGATTAGTAAACAAGCAAAACATTTCTCTTTGCAAGCACCGACTTATCTCAATGGCGGCAGCTCACAGGTCACTTCTTCTTTGGATGGTTTTCAATGTCTACTTGATTTCCTTGACCTCAGCTCAAGATGAAAACCAGTTCATCTACCATGGCTTCAGCGAATCCAAGCTGCATCTGGATGGCATGGCAGAAATCCTCTCCAATGGTCTACTGCAGTTAACCAACGCTACCGAACTTCAAACGGGCCATGCTTTCTACCCATTTTCATTCAAGTCCAACGTATCATCCTATAAATCTCTTTCTTTTTCAACCAATTTTGTATTTGGAATAGTTCCAGATCCTAATAATAAAAATAGTGGCCATGGCATGGCTTTTGTCGTCTCACCATCCCTGGACTTAAGCAAAAGTAAGCCAACCGCATATTTGGGACTCTTCAATTCTTCAAACTATGGCCTTTCAACAAACCACATCTTGGCCGTTGAGCTTGATACTGTACAATCCGCCGAATATAATGATATAAATGGAAACCATGTGGGAATAGACGTAAACAACCTGGAGTCTAATGAATTTGCTACAGCAACTTATTTTTCCGATAAAGAAGTGAAGAACATAACCTTGGAGCTAGCAAGTGGAAATCCAATGCAGATATGGATTGACTTCGATGAAACCGAGAAATTACTCAATGTAACACTTGCTCCAATCAGAATCCCGAAACCAAACAGGCCCCTCTTGTCAACTTCCATTGATCTTTCTCAAATTTTCTTGGACTCTATGTATGTTGGTTTTTCTGCATCAACAGGTGAACTTGTAAGTGGCCAGTATATTCTTGGATGGAGTTTCAACAAAAGTGGACAAGCACAAAATCTTGATATTACGAAGCTTCCTTCACTTCCTGCCAGAGGATCAAAAAAACGAATTTTAAAGATTATTGCTTCCCTCATAGTGGCAGTGGTTGTGCTTGTAGCAATTGGTGCAACAGTTTACATTTTTCAGAAGAAGAAATACGAAGAATTATTGGAAGACTGGGAAAGACAATATGGTCCTCATAGGTTCTCCTATAAGAATCTCTACAAAGCAACCAAAGGTTTCAATGACAAAGAGCTTATTGGAGAAGGAGGATTCGGTAAGGTTTACCGTGGTGTAATTCCTTCTTCCAATGAACAAATTGCAGTCAAGAAAGTCTCCCATGATTCCAAACAAGGGATGTCAGAATTTGTGGCCGAGATAGTCAGCATGGGAAGGCTAAGACATAGGAACTTGGTACAACTCCGTGGCTACTGCAGTAGAAGACAGGAACTTATATTAGTCTATGATTATATGGCTCACGGAAGTCTTGATAAAATGTTATATAGCGATACAAGACCAGGCCTTAATTGGTTTCAGCGATTTCGAATTCTCAGAGGAATAGCTTCTGGCCTTCTCTACCTTCATGAAGATGGGGAGCAAGTTGTTCTGCATAGAGATATAAAGCCTGGTAATATTCTTTTAGATGTTGACTTAAGTGGAAAATTAGGGGATTTCGGCCTTGCTAGGTTCTATGATCATGGTAGCAATCCAAAAACCACAAACCTGATAGGAACTTTGGGTTATCTGGCTCCAGAGCTTCTTAGGACTGGAAAGGCTACTACAAGCACAGATGTGTTTGCTTTTGGGGCTTGTATGCTTGAGGTGGCTTGTGGGAGGAAGCCTATGGCTATAGAGCCTGGAAACCTAAATTTGGTTGATTGGGTCATTGATTGCTGGAAAAGAGGAAATATTCTTGATGCTACTGATCCAAGATTGGAAGGTCTTTATGCAGAGGAACAAACGGAGTTAGTTCTGAAACTAGGCCTTTTTTGTTCACAGCCAAACCCAGCAGCTAGGCCTAGCATGAGGCAGGTGATGCAGTATCTGGATGGTGATGTCATGTTACCACATATAACACCTGATGGCCCTTTGATTGCTGCATTCACCGCAAGTAATGAAGCTTCTAATGTTCTGGTGAATTTTTCTGAATTGTTGGAAAGGGTTTCTTCTCACACCATGTCAACTGTTGAATCAATTCTCATGGAAGGTCGTTGAATCAACTATCGTTTTGGAGTTTCTTGTACACGTCCCTCATCTAAAAGGTGACTACTTAGTCCATGATTCATGCAAGCCCAGAAAAACTCACATTAACAGTAGAAAAGTGCTTGTGCCTAATCAAGGGTCATAAAGCTGCAGAAGACAAAACAAATAAAAGAGTTGTAAGTTTAATCTCATATGTATGATCTTTTTTTGTTCATAAAGAATATCTTTTGCCTTGGTTAAGGTCTCTTGGTTTCTTTCTTTGTCTCTCTTTTTGTTTTTTCACTTTAAATGCGTACACATGGAAAATAATATGAATGAAATTACACATCTCAAGCAGTGGTTTAAACATCTCATTTGAAGTGACTTTGTCTGTAATATGAATTAGCACTTAGAATGCAAAATTTGGAATATCCATTAAGATGTGTAACATTACAATGACTTTTTCTAACTAATATCATATACTAATCTCATGAGTCATGATACCATCTTGGAGTTTAGATCTCAGCATCTCAGGATTACACAAAATTTCCATCCCCTCAGATACGCCAGTTCAGTACCCCGCATTTTTGAAAGAAAAAAAATCACATCCAGTTTAATGGCTAATATAGAATGCAAAGCCAGTGGCCAACACACATCGTTCTACTAGAAGACAACAAGCTGTCTTTGTTTAACTGCTGCGAACGACATCTCATTCATTTCTAGGACGACCTCTTTTGCCTTGGTAAGGACGATTTGTCGTTTATATCTTATTTGACTTGGAACCTGTCATTCATGCCTCTTTATTGTACATCACTTATAGTTGAAGCTCATTTCCTGTGAGCTATTAGTCATTGTACATTATTTAATTTTACCCGGAAATTTATGTTGAAGAAACTTCAAATTTTTATGTCGTAAATGACTTCTCAGAGGAGTAGTTTCGGGCCTTCTTTATCTCCACGAAGAGTGGGAACAAGTTGTTCTGCATAGAGACATAAAAGCTGCCAACGTTCTTTTTTGATGCCGATCTGAACGGAAAGTTGGGAGATTTTGGGCTTGCTAGATTACATGATCCTGTTAGCAATCCACAAACCACCAGCCTGGTAGGAACTGTTGGTTATCTAGCTCCAGAGCTGCTTAAGACTGGAAAGGCAACTACTAGCACTGATGTATTTCCTTTTGGAGCTTTTATGCTTGAGATTGCTTGTGGAAGGAGGCCTATAGAGCCTGGAATATAGATTTGGCTGATTGGGTCATTGATTGCTGGAAAGAGGAGCGATTCTAGATTTTAGTGACCCTAGATTTGAAAGTATATATGTGGAAGAGCAAATGGATTTGGTTCTTAAACTTGGTCTCCTTTGTTCAGACTCTAACCTAGAAACTAGCTCAGCATGAAGCAGGTGACGCAGTATCCGGATGGTGAAGCAAAATTGCCAAGTATAACACCAGATGGCGCTTTGATAGGCGCAATAACAGCGAGGTATGAAGCTCCTGATATTGTTTTGTCATTTGATTCGTTGCCTGGAAATATTTCTTCCCACACCTTGTCCACTGTTGATTCAATCCTCGTGCTGGGCCGCTGAATCAGGAGTTTTATGCAATAGCTGCGTCCTTTGGACATATTATGGTTGGAGGGTAGAGAGAAATATTCAAAGATTCTGAAATACTCTGTTTCTCTAACTTGTGAATTTGTAAAACTGGTATTGACTTGACTTGTTATTCTGTAAGATAACTTGTTTTGCTGGCTAATACACATCGACTCTAGTTTAGCTTTTAACAGAAACCCAGAATGTGAATGTCTCCATATCATTATCAAAATAGCAAGCTGTGATATATAACCCATGAAAGTGCTGTAACTACATGGCTTAGAGTAAAGAAGTAACGGTGTTATAGGGTTTAAACAAAGGGCATTAGATTAATTTAGTAAGTTTCCTGCACCGGTCTCCACTTTTTGTCTCTTCTAATATGCAGTATTATTCATTTAACAATATTTGAATACTTGTATGTTTGACTTGCCTACAGACTATGAAATTTACGCTGATGTGACAAGTTCAATGGCTCTTGTTATAATATTGCAGGTTATATTTATTGATAATAACTTGAAAATACATATCTCTTTTAATGATTCAATTAGATTATTTATGAAAAAATATATTTTTATTATAAAATTTGAGTTAATTATTTCATAAATACCTTTTTAAGAAATCATGATGTGTATTTTGAATATTTTTAGGTTAAAAATGATATTTGAATAAAGAAGAATGATGTCGATGGAATTTATAATGAATAGGAACAAACAGTGAAAGAATCGAAGTAGGAACAAACGGTGAAAAAATTGAAGTTGAAACGAGAAAGTTGTGACGCATTGAAGATGAGACGGAAAACTTGGAAATTTGTTAAGATGAGCATGTTTTGATGTTTTTATCATAACTTGAGCTGTAGAAATCTGAATTCAATGATTCTTGTGGCATTGGAAAGCTTATTCAGAGAGCTACAAAGTTTGTGTTGGTGACTTTGCCAAATTCTGAAGATTCTAGATTCATAGGATAGAAAGAACAATCACCATAGCGACCTTTTCTATCGCCATAACAATGGATTACGGCCTGTTTGGGTTATTGTATTTTCCTAGTCTAAATTTGAATGATTTAAGGCATTTAATTCTTTTCTAATTAACCTCCAAACCCTAGCACTATAAATAAAGGTCTTTATTTAGTTTTAGGGAGATTAGAGAATGAGAAATGGCGACTACTATTTTGGAAATTAGAATTCTTGCAGTTTTCGTTCACTAATTAGATAAGTTTTTCTATTTTCTCTCTTGAACTCATGTTTTTTAATTCAATGGTTGTTTTTATCATTGCAATTATGAACTAAACTCATTTTTTGGGGCTAAAAATATAGACCAATTTATGAATATGTGTTTACGTTATTGTTGTTAATTTAATTGAGCATTAATTTAAGTTTTATTATTGCGTGTCATGCTTTTAATTTTTTTGGATCCGAGAGTTGACTGATATCCTGAGTTGGGTTGAGATCGAGAGATGAAACCTGATTAGTCTAAAGTAATAAAATCATAGATTGAACAAACGCTAAAGATAGATTACCACGATCTGTGAGACTTTGGTAAATTTTATAGAACATAATGATCTCTTAGTTTCTAAATCCAACTTAGAGATATTTTGGGTTGTTACTTAGAAGTTAATTCGCTAATTGTTCGAGAGAAAGTTAGTATAATATTAGGAAGTTTGGCCTTTAGAATAAGTTTAATTAAGTTAGCAATAATTGTCAATACATAGAATTTAATTGGTGTGAAATCTATGTCCTAAATTTAGTTATATTGATATTTTTACCAGAGTATTAATATAATTTTGTTTTTGTTTTATTTTTCATTAAATTAATTCTTAAAATTTGTTTCATTAAATAACAATAAAATAGATTAAGTTTGATACTTGATAGATAATTCTCTTGAAATTCGATACTCATTTACTTAAGTTTTACTACTAACGCGATTTTGTACACTTACAAATAGTCGCATTTATATATATCAACGATTGTTCAGTATACGACTACTGCAAATACTAGTTAAAATTACCTTCTGCCGGTGACGTATTGGCTTTCATCAATTCCCGGAATCATTCAGCAGGCGAAAACAAAAAATGTTTAACGCCTCCATTCTTGTTCTTTTTATATATCTATAAAAACTAGTATTCACTAACTAAACAAACTCCACAGGTTTAAGTAAATCTTACTGAGATTCTAAATATCAAATAAAGCATCATGCATAACCAATTAATGCATCATCATACTATATTATCTTCTTTGAACCTGCATTTCACTGGTAACACATTATGCTGATAATGAGGTAAGACATTTCACTATATCAGCTTCACTGTGCCACTTGATAAGCTGGGAAAACATGAGTCAAAAGTTGTCCTTTTCCATTCATTATCATTGATCAACTAAATGAAAAGGATTTTTTCCTTAAACAACCAAATGTTACTTCAGGTCTTAAATTGCCGGCTAAGGTATGCTTAAATAAAAAAAATAAAAAAAACCCTTAATTCGAATCTGTAGGCATATCTTTTAGAGTAAGAAAAATAAGTCTGAAGAGTTGAGAGATTAGTAAACAACAAAAACATCTCTCTTTGCAAGCACCTCCTTATCTCAATGGCGGCAGCTCACAGGTCACTTCTTCTTTGGATGGTTTTCAATGTCTACTTGATTTCCTTCACCTCAGCTCTAGATGAAAACCAGTTCATCTACCATGGCTTCAGCGAATCCAAGCTGTATCTGGATGGCACGGCAGAAATCCTCTCCAATGGTCTACTGCAGTTAACCAACGCTACCGAACTTCAAATGGGCCATGCTTTCTTCCCTTTTTCATTCAAGTCCAACGTATCATCCTATAAATCTCTTTCTTTTTCAACCAATTTTGTATTTGGAATAATTCCAGATCCTAATAATAAAAAAAGTGGCCGTGGCATGGCTTTTGTCATCTCACCATCCCTGGACTTAAGCAAAAGTAAGCCAACCGCATTTTTGGGACTCTTCAATTCTTCAAACCATGGCCTTTCAACAAACCACATCTTGGCCGTTGAGCTTGATACTGTAAAATCCGCTGAATATAATGATATAAATGGAAACCATGTGGGAATAGACGTAAACAACCTGGAGTCTAATGAATCTGCTACAGCCACTTATTTTTCCGATAAAGAAGTGAAGAACATAACCTTGGAGCTAGCAAGTGGAAATCCAACGCAGATATGGATTGACTTCGATGAAACCGAGAAATTACTCAATGTAACACTTGCTCCAATCAGAATCCCGAAACCAAACAGGCCCCTCTTGTCAACTTCCATTGATCTTTCTCAAATTTTCTTGGACTCCATGTATGTTGGTTTTTCTGCATCAACAGGTGAACTTGTAAGTGGCCAGTATATTCTTGGATGGAGTTTCAACAAAAGTGGACAAGCACAAAATCTTGATATTACGAAGCTTCCTTCACTTCCTGCCAGAGGATCAAAAAAACGAATTTTAAAGATTATTGCTTCCCTCATAGTGGCAGTGGTTGTGCTTGTAGCAATTGGTGCAACAGTTTACATTTTTCAGAAGAAGAAATACGAAGAATTATGTGAAGACTGGGAAAGACAATATGGTCCTCATAGGTTCTCCTATAAGAATCTCTACAAAGCAACCAAAGGT